TTAAGTATTTGGTGGATTTTATAGCTTGAGTTTTCAAAAGCAATAATTACAGCTGATTACTGTCTCTATACAGTACTTCTGCACTAAAGTAGAAAAAGGTTGTTTATATAGCATCATAAGCATTGTGTATATATACACATACATATATATGAGTGTATGTCTATATACGTGCATGTATATGTACATATGCATGCATTCCATTTTTGTCTTTGAACTAGTTGAAGTATATTTCTTTATGATGTAGAGATCCCAAAACTATTCTGTCTTGCTAAAAAATGCTGCTATATAAATGAATGATATCTAACCAATTGGTTAGGAGAAAACAGGTCAAGTTATTTTTGAGTAGAGCAAGAGTTCATAACCTTTGTTGTATCATGGACCTCATTGACAGTCTGGTGAAATCTATATATGCCTTCTCAGAATAATTTTAAAAAATACTTAATTGAACAAAAGTCTAATTAGAGGTAAGTGAAAATAACATTATCATATTTCCCATCCAAATTCATGGATTCCCCTCAAAAAGAGTCATAGGTACTTTACATATCCCTGCACTTGAAATTAAGAAGACTTGAATAACAGCAATAGCATCAGGCACAGCTATGAAAATGGCCCATCATTCTTCATCAAAAAGAAGAAACTTTACTTAGAAAAAAAATAGTCTTTTTTCACCTCAAGCTATCAAAAGCTTGAGAAGCAGCATGAACAGTGGATGGAGTACATGTCTCAGGATCAGAAAGGCATGGGTTCAGATTATAACTCTGACGCAGATGTATTTTGTGACCCTGGACCAGCTCTTAATCTTTCAGTGCCACAGTCACCTCTCAACTGTACTTTCCTAACCAAGGATTGTATATTGTCTTGAGTGGGCACAGTGATGATGAGGTGGAGGAGGAAGATGATGGTGGTGGGTGGTGGTGCTGCTCATGATGGTCATATATTAAATTTATACTAGACTTAAGGTCAGCAAAGTAACACATATTATATATATTACACATTATATATATCACATATATATAATCTCTTTTGATCTTTCCAACAATCCAGGGGCAGGGGGACTACAGCTATTATTTATCTCTATTTTACAAATGAGGAAAACTAAACAAAGAGGGACAAGAGTCACAGCGTGTAAGACAAAGCTTGAGCTGAGCCTTTCAGGATGCTAAGGGTTATAAGAGTTGGAGGTGAGGCTGGAGTACATTCTAGGGATGGGAGAACACTTGTACAAAAACATGGAAGAGGGAGATTGTACACTGAGCTTGGGAACAGCAAATAGGCTAATGTGGCTGGAATATAGTATTGATATCAGAGTAATATGAACTGAATCTGAAAAAGAAGAGGCTTCCATGTTGTGAAGGACTTTAAATGACAAAATGTGGGGATCTGATTTCATTCTACAAGCAATAGGAACCACTAGAGAATTTTGAGTAGGTGAGTAGCATGGACAGACTTGTTCTTATGTGAGATTATTTGACAGTTGCATAGAAAATGGATTAGCGAGGAGGAGAGATGGAAACCAAGACCAATTAGGAGAATCTTTCTAAGGCTAAGAGTGGATGAGTCTGAAGTAGGGTGATGGCCATGTAGATGGAAAGTAGGATGCAGATGGGAGAGATGTTATGGAGGTAGAAACAGTAAGACATGATTGACTTACCATGTAAATAACTTACCAAGAAGTGACTTATCATGTAAGTCACTTAACACTAAGACATGGTGATATGGTAAATGAGGGAGAGTTAAGGATGATTCTGAGGTTGTAAACCAGTGTGATTGGAAAGATGGTAATGCCTTTAACATAAATAGAGAAATTTTGAGAAGGGGAAGGGAAAAGAATAAAAAAGGAAATATTGAAAGTTTCATTTTGGACATGTTTAATTTCATATTTTGGGGGACAGAGGCATAGAGTTGTAGATGCCTAGTACCTAGTTGGAGAAGCTCAGTAGGTAGTTGGGACTGTGGGACTAAATTTCATAACTTACATTAGGATATTTAGATTTGGAAGTTATTTTCATGAAAATTATAACTGAACGGATTGTTGAAAGGAAAGTGAAAAGGGCCCATACCAGAGCTTTGAGGACACACTGGTACTGGTGACTGAGAAGAAGCTTTCTTTCAGACTTTGCTCTGTCATTCATTTCCCATGCCCCCCATCCTTCTCCCTCCCTCTGTCTCTACTTCTCCTCCCTCTCCCTCATTCCTTCTTCTACTTTTTTCCCCCTTGGTTCCCATTTCTTCTTGAGGTCAAAATTGTCATTTTAATTGGTGTTCAAGGTTGTTTTAGTCCTGTATTTTGATTTCCTGTTTCTGTTTCTTTCATTACCCCTAGTTCACCTGTCTTCTGTTACTTCTCTGAATTCTTCATCTTCATTGTTTGTTACAACATAATAATAGTCATTGCATTCATGTGTCACAATTTGTTTAGCTATTCCCAAATTGATAGATATTGCATTTATTTCAAAGTTCTTTGCTACTATAAAGAAGTGTTATACTATGAATGGTTTGGTGATTATAGAACCTTTTTTCTTGTCTTTGACTTTATTGAGTTATATGCATAGCATTAGGCTCTCTGGGTAAAAGGAATGGTATATTTTACTCACTTTTTTAACCATAATTCCAAACTGCTTTCCAGAGTGGTTGGACCAAATCACAGATACACCAATTTTAATTACTTTTTATTTTCATATCAAGTCCAATATCGACTATCCCCATCTTTTGCCATCTTTGTTGATATTTTGGTTTTTCAGTTATTCTCTTACATTCCTTGTCACTTATTCTCATTTTTGTGTGCCTCTTCTGATGCTCATACTCTCAAGGATGGAATGCTAGGTGGCTTCAGCCTCCTTCTATCGGTGGATATATAGGTTTAAAGTTCTTGGCACTAAGTAACCTCTAGCTATAGAGGAAAGAGCCTTAGCTTATTTTTAGATCACATTTTATTAGACCAGATGATCTCTTCACCTCTAGCCTGTGACTCAGAGTACCTCATGGCATATTTTTAATCCCTGCCCAATTCCTTAATACTCCTTCTTCCTTTTCTTCACTTCACTTGGAAGAATCAATGTTCACTGCTTCTTATGAGATTGAGGGGAGGAGGGAGTTCAGGAAGAGGGAATTCTATGGATGCATACACTAAATCAGGCCATCAATGCTGAGTGAATGACCTAAGTATTAGTATTCTCTAGAATTAACTGGGGCTCATTTCTTTTGGTATGGAATGATTGTCTTCTTAACATTTGTAATCAGTTAAATTTGCTCTTTCCCTGGAGCATAATTCCTTTTTTTATGTTTTGAAGTTGAAAAAATTGGTTGAAAACAATTATTTTGCCATCTTGCTCATCATGAGAACCCTTCCTTGTCCCCTTTCTCTTCTTATATCAACATGCTCAGGTTTAATTTGTCTTAAAACAAAACATAGGAAAAAAGTCCATTCCTCTGAACCTGATAACTTCAAACAGCTGTTTTCATCTCTCTTCTCCTCTTCTGCAAGACTTTTTGAAATGGTTACTGGTTTATTGTCTTTGTTTCCTCAGCAATCATTAACACCATGATCCCTTCTTTTCCAGCTTGGCCTTCAACCCAAATGTTCTACCACATTTTGCAGAAAATGCTTTTGCAGATGTCGCCAAAGGAGGAACCGACTGCTGTATTGAATTGAGAGTTTACCTTGAATATCCTCTCACCATTTCTGACTGTTGAAATCCTAAGTATTCTTTAGAGACCCAGACTGAATGCCACTTTTCCAATGAAGGCTTACCTGATTTTACTTTAAGCCAGGGATTACTATCCCCCTCCCCTGCCAATTTAAAAATATTTATTTTTTTTTAACATTCATTTAAAAAATTTTGAGTTCCATATTCTTTCCTTTCCTATGGCCCCTTCCCTCCCCATTAAAAAAAGCAAGAAATATGATATGCATTATACATATGAAGTCATTAAGCCAGGGATTGTTAACTACTTTTTACCATGGACCCCTTGACAGACTGGTAATGCATATGGACCATTTTTCGTAATAACACTTTTAAATGCATAAAATAAAATACATAACATTACAAAGGAAATTGAAGATTAGTGAAAATATATAATTTTTTTCCCATCCAATTTGGAAATCTATTCATAGACCCTCAGGGATTTGTGTATCCTACGTGAAGAATTCCTGTTCTATTTCCAACATGGAAATTAACTCTCTCTGTTAAATATCAGTATTTTGTGTGTCTTTAATAATGCTTTGTATTACAAGTAGTATTTTTTGTAGACATCTCATTTGCCCATTGGATCGTAAACTCCTTGAGAGGAGGAAATCCATTCTATTTGTCTTCATATTTCCCTAAGTAACTTGTCCATAGCATAACCATCATTATAACTCAATGGGCCCCTTCCAGATTGAAACAGACTCAAATCTACTTTCCTAGGATAATCAAAACTTGCATGTACAATATGTATGTATGTACATATATGGAGAGATATATACACATACGTGTACATGTATATACTATACATACATTTGTGTGTAGGAGGGAGGAGGAGAGAGAGAACACAAAGTAGGCACTTGATAAATACTTTTTGGATGAGAGCTATTGAACCATATTCAATTCCCAACCTCAATCGGTTAGCTTCGCTACCAAGGACTATAGCCCTAACCCAATATCACTGTCTTGCATATGATTGTCTGTTCTGGAGGGGAAATAGAGTGATTGAGAAATCCATTCTGACTAATGGAAAACAACTTCATGCTTACCCATTACTGATAATGGGCCAGTAGTGTCATCTCCAAAATCAAAGGAACTTATTATTCTAACCTCTACAAATGCATAACACTCAAGCAACCCTTATTACCCAGATCCACATACAACTATAAAAGAGTTTGGTGAATATAACTGCGATTGCTTTAAATACCAGGAGTTTCCTCTTATTTTTCCAGTCTGAAGAATGTATGCCTATAGCTGATTTTCCAAAAAGGCAGGTTCAACTTGGGTTTGAGGACATATTAAACGAAGTTTTTGTACCTTGAGGTCTTCTGGTTGAATTTATAGATGATTTTCCATCATTAGTTAGTCTTTCCTTTTTTTGACTTTTCAAAAACAGAATCAGTTCAATGAAATGATACCTAGGGAGAAAAATAGCTTGAATAGAATTTTCACTTTGTTATAATCTAGAGAATGCTTGTTAGTAGTAATATCAATAATATTCTATACCTGCAGGACACTACACACTTTGCAAAGGGATTTTGCATACGTTATTATTCTATTGGTTATCCTTGAGCCCTCCATTTGTACCAAATGACTGATGTTCCCTATATAGGGAAAAAAGAAAGGCAGATAGCGGCGGCAAAATGAAAAATGTGATCTTGATCTGAAAATGCTTCAGTTTTCGAAGGAAATGAGGAAACAGCTTTATAAATAAATGTTGGGCAGACTATTCAAGAATGGATTCATCAATAGGCAGTCATGCAAAATTAATTCCTAATTTTATTTTATATTTGGGTACATTGTAGGCAACCAATGAATATAGGTTGAAGAATTAGGTCAGAGGATACATATACAGACACATCTTCCCTTTGTCCAATAGATGCATTTTGCAAAAATTGTGTGCACACTGAGTTTTTGTAAATGGAATCATTTTTTAAAATGTACTTGGGGGGATTTTCAACAGAAGCTCTATCATTCTCAAATAACAGTATATCCTTTCACAAGTTAAAAAAACAAGTGTGACTTAACCAGCTATATTCTAATTAATGTTTTATTAATTTTCAAGAAGCACCTGGGGATACCCCCCACTGAAATCGAAGGTTGGGTTTTCCAGAGAATGGCTACCCAGGTTCAAGGTACTCAGTGGTTTTGTGTTCCTAAAATTAGAGTAGAATATTTGCCTGGCTCTCTCTACCCTCAGAAACGTAAGAGAAATGTTCTCTAGCAAACATATTCACCATCAATGTGGAGAATGAGCCAATACAAAAACTGTGCATGATCTCCACTCCTGAAGAAAATGTGTAGAGGATCAACTTACAAGGTTGATGCTGAAGGACTCTTTATGTAATCATCTTGTTATTTCCCCATGCTGTTCCTACATGAGATATTTTGACAGGGTACACTGTGTTACTGAGTCCACTAGGCCCCACTCTACAAGGCAAATTTCTTCAACCATTGGTGGTTCTCCCCACTACCTCCAGCTTCTGACATGGCTGAAGTCGTTGGCCAGTATACTCCAATTTTTTTTCTTCAGAAAGAACTGGAACTCTTGTTCTAGGGCCAGCTGGAAGCCTCCCCTGTTCTACTCTAGTAAAGTCTCAACCCTGGGTCTTGCGGTCTGAACCCTAGGCATTAAGCACTCTTAATACTCAACTCTTTACATAAAATTTTGGGAGTCCCTCTGTCTCCCTACAAACACATTTCCTGTGACTATATGTTTCTTCCACTGAATACCACTGCTGATTGATGGTGGGGTAAGAGGAAAGGAAGGGGAATCTCTCCCCACCTCCAAACTTTCCTGTTGTGAGCAAGGAGTACCAAAGAAAAAGGTGAAGAATGTGTTTTCAATATTGTCATACTTCTTTTAGAACTGACAATTGAGCTCACCATTTCAGAATGCTTTTTAACACCTCTGGGCATGGTTTATCCTTAGCCAGACCATTACTAGAAACTCCCTGTGTCTCACCAGTTGCCTTATCCAAGGCCAATGTCCTATTATATTATCAAGGCATTTGGGGAACTCCTTTACATTCTATTATCAGGATGTTAAGAAAAACTTCCTAGTTGGATCATAGACTATCCCAAACCACCTCATTTTCACCAATGTTTTCATAGATTGAGTTTTCTTAAAGTGGAGGCACATCTCTGCCTTACCTAACTGAGAATTAGAAGCTGAAGGAATTAATTATAATAACTAATCCTTTCTATCTGGTCCATCTAATCCCCACTACTTTCTGGGATTTCTCATGATCAGTATTCCTTCTCCAATAAGATATCTCATCATTGATGTTGGGAACAGCAACCATTAGCTCTTGCTGCCTGGGAGCAGATGGTATCATGATATTAGACTGTTTCCCACCATAAAAATGAATAGCAAAGAGATAGTCATTTCCCAGGCACATTCAGTATTAGAAAAAAGAGTTAGGCATTGAGCTCCAACATAAACTTTCCATTTCTCCAGAGGAAAAGAGTTTGCTCAACCAATCAGGATATAAATATTTGCATATCTGATTGACTAAAGCAGACTCTAGTCTTAACACACATCACACAGCTGCTGTTAGCTCATGATTTTCCCCTTGCATACTCAAATATTATCTACATTAGAAAATGGATGGCTAGTCTCAGTCAGCGAATGTTCACAAAGTGGTTTGTACATTCTAGATAAAAGACATTTGTGTTCCAAGTTACATTTGGATATTTGTAAAATTATCTCAAATGCTAATGTTACGAAAAATGTTTAAGGTCAGAGGAAATATGTGATAAAGGAAATATTGCAGGAGAAATAAGCACATTGATTGAAGCCTTCTATTATGAACTAAGCCCCCATTAATGTGAAAAATGAATTCCATCTACTTCCCTCAAAATTCACCTCAAAAGACCTTTCATTATCTATTATTAGACATTTACTTTCCTTCTTTCCTACTTTTTTAAGATTTAGTACATTTAAATCACAAGAAGCACTTTGGTTTATTTTAGTCTCAAATATGTTCTTTATTTTGCAAAAGATGGGAAAAACACCCTCTTGTTTAAAAAGAAAAACAGCACACTGATTTCGACATAAATCTTTACAGGATCCATCTTCTTTACCCTCTTGCCTTGCATCATTCTACAAACAATACACAGGAAGACGGAGGTGAAGTCACCCTTGGAGAGGTTGGGAGAGGAATACTTCAGATCAGGAAGCCCTGTGGCAGGGCAGTGGAAGAATGCTTGTTCCAATGAACTTTATGTAATAACTTACATACACTGATAAATGTTCTACTGTAAGAGCTATCCAGGGATACCTGCACTTAGACAATATTTATTTAATTTTCCACTTCCAAAAAGCCAAAACCCTGATCATGGCTACACAGGATGCTACTTAATAGCCTTCTCCCTCCACCTGGTTACTTGACTTCAGGTCAAGCATCTCCCAGGTATGGCCTTTTCCAGCCTTTCTACCCTTTACTGGCAGTGGCCTCCCCAATATAACCCTTGGCTGTGTCCCAAAGTCTCTGCCTTTCTCTACCCTTCTCAGGCTGTGCACCACAAGGTCTCTCCCCTGGCTCCCCCTCTAATCCAATTTCCCTCAAAAGAATTTGACCTGAGAGCTCCTTTCATTCTGCTTGCTTTGGCCATGTGCTTTCCCTGGATATCAGATGTGCTACTTACTAAGTTTTTATTACCATTTTCTAAGTTCCTTAAGGGTGGCACCATGTCTTAACTAAACCTTGTATCATCTTCAGCATTGTTCATAGTGCTGTGAATACACATTATAAGGGCTTACTCAGTACTTGTTATGTCTTATTAGGTAGTGGGTTGGGATAGGTAGCCTTTAAAGTTTTTACCCTCTCAATTCCAATATTCTCTGACTCTAGGTGGTTCTAGGTTGGATAAATCACTTACCTTCACTGTTACCATGGGTTTTTTTTTCTAATATGAACTACCATAGATGATTTCTCTTTTTTTTCTTTTTTTTAAATTTTTTTTTTAGGTAATTGGGGTTAAGTGACTTGCCCAGGGTCACACAGCTAGTAAGTGTAAAGTATCTGGTCTGAGGCTGGATTTGAACTCAGGTCCTCCTGACTTCAGGGCCAGTGCTCTATCTACTGTACCACCTAGCTGCCCCCATAGATGATTTCTAAGGCTCTTTCCAGCTCTAAGATTCTGTGATTTTCACTCAAAGGCACACATCATAACTTACCCATCTCTGACCATATTTAACCACATTTCTTGAAAGCTCTAGTTTCCTCCAAGGTTGAGGTTATATGAATATTCCCATAAGAGTACTCAGCTATCCCCCACCCCAGTTATTAGTATTCCCTCCTTCCCCTAGAAGTTACTCAGTATTTGTTTGATATTTCCTTTTCTGTGTATATGGTAATTACACCCAATAGAACATAAGCTCTTTGAGAAGAGGGGCTGTTTCATTCTTGTCCCTGTCTTAGCACAATACATCACACATAGTAACTTAATAAATCTTGTTGTCTTGAATTAAACACTGTTTCGCTTATCGTAATTAATGCTGTTTTTTTTTTAAATGACCTATCTTAAAAACAAAAACAAGCCCTTACAATTTTGTAATCCATTCAGGCTTGCATTTTTAAAAATGATTATTAAGTGTGTATGTGTGTGTGTAGGGGGTGGTGGTGGTGATGGCAGCCAGAGTTGCAATTGAGGACAAGATGTTAGTGGGCGATGGGCAGACGAATAGACATGACTGACAGCCACTGATTAGGAAGGATGACTCTTATTTAGAGAGCATTCAAAGATTAGACAAGACAGCAGTCAGTAGTTATTTCACGCAAGCCTTACATTCATAGAGGAAATAATCCTTTCCATCATACTCTAGTCATTTAATAGGCTGCTTGCTTTTTAAAAATTTTATTTTCTCCCTATTCTGAATTTAATAAACACCAAAAGAAAAATGAACATTCCCCTATCCAAAGTAGAAGAGATAAAGATTATTATATGTGAAACCATCTTTAATATAAGTTCATCTTGCTTATATATATATGTATTTATATATATTATTTGTATATATACACATATAAAATGCATATGCTATGTATATATAAACATATTTTATATATAAATATATAAATTCAACTTGTTACTTTCAATGCTATCCAGTTTGTCTGTATTTCCTTCTGTTTATTTTTATACATTTTTAAAAATGTATCAATGACCTTTGTTTTCTTTTTTTCTTTTTTGTCAACCCACTCCTTAGTCTGCCTCCCTTTCCTCTCCACTTCTTTCTCATTCTCACCCACCCCCAACTGAAATACAAAGAAAAACAAAATCCGTTTAATGAATAGAGTCAAGCAAAACAAATCTACACATTTGAAGATGTCCAAAAGGGTGTATTTTATTTTATTTATTTGTTGTTATTCAGTCCTTTTCAGTTGTGGCTAACTCTTTGTGACTCCATTCTTGGCAA